TCCTTTTGAAGAAGTCCTTGGCATCCTCAGCTGTCTTCTCCACATAGTACCCAGTTCCCACATCAATGAGCACATGTTCTACATCATGTAACTTCCCAGGGACATACATCTGAGAAGCAAGGGTTAAGGGAAAACTAGCCCGGCATGAGACACAGTTTTGTCAGCCAGAGTTGGTTCGTGTGAAGACAACAGAAGCTGGAACACTTTCTTGTCCTGATCCCACAGGGATTTCCCCATTAGTCTTTCCACAAAGATCAGATTAGATGTAATCATGCTTTCCCAAGGTTCCACAACAGTGTAAGTAGAAAGATAGACTTATCCACCCCAGCCATAAATGCTGACGGATTACTACAAATTCTTACTTTTTTTTAGATTATGTATATGTGCATTTGCATGCCTGGTGCCTACAGAAGTTACGAAAGGTTGCTGGATCCCTGGAATTGGAGTTACCTACACCAAACTAGGTTCTCTTCAAGAGCAAGAAGTGCTCTTAAGCATTAAGCCCTCTCTCCAGCCTCAGATCATCTTTAACCTTTTTTAAAGCCCTCTCTCCAGCCTCAGATCATCATTAACCTTTTTTTAAATATTTATTTATTGTGTATACAGTCTTCTGCCTGCATGCCAGCAGAAGGCACCAGATCTCATTCAAGGTGGTTTTGAGACATCATGTGTGTGCTGGGAATTGAACTCAGGACCTCTGGAAGAACAGTCAGTGCTCTTAACCGCTGAGCCATCTCTCCAGCCCATAATTAACCTTTTTTATATTACATTTACTGGCTTTGTGTATATGTTTTCCCAAGTGCATATGCCATGGAACATGTGTGGAGGTTGGGAGTTGGTTTTCTCCTCCACCATGTGGGTATTGGATTGAATTCAGGTTGTATGTGTTTCTGCACATCTTTTTTTTTTTGTTTTTTGTTTTTGTTTTTTTTTTTTTTGTTTCTGCACATCTTTACCCACTAAATAAATTTGTTTTAGTGCATTGGTGTCAGAGTGTCAGATCCCCTGGAATTGGAGTGTGGGTGCTGGGACTTGAACCTGGACCTCTGGAAGAGCAGCCAGTGTTCTCAACCTCTGAGCACCTCTCCAGCCCCACATTGCCATTATTATTTAACTTAAGCAATCTTCACAAATCGCTACTCTTAGGTTTCTCTCTTAGCCTGTCATTTCACGGATTCTTTTTTTTTTTTTTTTCTTCCTTGAGACATGGCGTCTCTGTATTGTTTTGGAGGCTGTCCTGGAACTCGCTCTGTAGACCTTGAACTCAGAGATCCGCCTGCCTCTGCCTCCTAAGTGCTGGGATTAAAGGCTTGTGCCACCAACGCCTGGCTCACGGATTATTTTCAACAGATAAACACAATCTAGGTTTCTTATTGAAAGTAGTTCCCGAATGAGCCACAATTAAGATGAAACTAACAGAGCCAAGTTCCCAATTTCAATATCCTACTATTTTCCTATTGCTTTAGCCGACTGCCAGTTTTATCTCCACATTAGATGAACATATTAGATGAGCAAAGAAAAACATTACACTTCAATTCTTCATTGAACTTAGAAAGTATTGGATAGACACTGGTCCTAGGTTAGACATGAGAACTTTGAAGTGTGTATGACTCAAGCCAGGATTTCTCTGCGTAGACCAGGCTGGCCTCGAACTCACAGAGATCCGCCTGCCTCTGCCTCCCAAGTGCTGGGATTAAAGGCATTCCCCATCACCACGCCCGGCTATGACCGTTCTTAAAATCATTGTCTGACTGTTACCAAAACTTTTTCCATTTTGAGGAATGACTGAGGAAGAAGGTAAGGTGGCATTTCCTGTGGAAAGGATACAGAACTCGTCAGTGGGACCAATAATTCTTTTCCTGTGAAAGTAATGGAGACAAACAGCTGGGGAAGGCTGGCCGCTCCCACGTGAAGACGTTAGCGGGAGGGACTCCCAAGGGGCTCAGAATCCATAGACAGAGAAAAGAACAGCAACAGAGGTGACGGGAGCCGAGAGATGTCGTGTGCATATTAGCTTTCCCGTAGGCAGCATGCAGGGGCTCGTGTGGCTATCTATACACACTACGTAACGGGCAGTTTTCTCTAAGGAAAACCAGAGTGGGAAGAAACGGCAGGGACGGGCTAGCGACGGTTCCCCAGGTGTCCCGCCTCACCCATACCTTCGTTGCTCTTGTTCAGCACGTTCAGACAGTCCTTGGCTTCCACGTACTTGGTCTGCACCACCTTGAGCTGGGCAATAGACGTGGACAGAAACTCCACTTCCTACAGAAACGGAGATAAAAGGGGTCAGGCCGGGGACCCGAGGGGGAGCTGGGCTCGGCCAGAGGGGGCGGGACCTGGGACCGGATAGGGGTTTCCCTGGGAAAGGAAGCCTCCCCCAACGGGAAGGCGCGGGGCGAACGACTTCGCGCAGCCGGAGGAGGTGGTACGGTTGGAAGGTGCCGGGACCGGGCCTCACCTGGTCCAGCTGGTTCTTGAGCATTTCCAATTGTGGCAAGTTCAGCTCCGTGATGTTAACCGACTGCGCCATGTTGGGAAGGAGGACTAACGAAGAGGAAGCCGGCTCGGCGTGCGACGCTCTAGCCAACCTCCGCGGTATTTCTGTGGTGCCGCCCGAAGATACGCTCTGCGCCGCTCGTCTCTATGACCCCGCTCCTCTGAAGGAAGATGGAGATTTCAAAGTTGATTTATAGAGGATAACGGAAACTTTTCGCTGAGTATACTAGAACCAGCACGACTAAATAGCAAACAGGGCTTTAGCCTTCAAGGAACTGGAAACTCTTGAAAGTCCTTAGGACGCAACCACGAGGATGTGAAGCTGTATACGTTACTGCGCGTTGATGGGACTGCTCTGGTGACAGGCCAGGACGGAGCCTGTGTTGTGACAGAACATTAAGGTGCTCGTGGAAACGGTGCTATAAAGGATAGGCGAAGTGGAAAGGACACTAAAGAGCCACCACTGCGGACCAACAAGTTTAGCATTAAGTTTATGTGTCTGGTTTGTCTGCGTGTGTGTGTGTGTGTGTGTGTGTGTGTGTGTGTGTGTGTGTGTGTTGTACAGTGTCAAGGATGCTGAATTCCTTGGAGCTGGAGTTACACTTAGTTGGTAGCCTCCATCCGGATGCTGGCAGCTGAACCTAGGTACTCTGGAAGAACAACCCTTAACTGCTGAGCATCTATCTAGTGCCAGCATAATTATGTTACTGTTAGATATGAGTGGTAGATAAATGTAAGATATATGCTTCTGGGCCTGGCGGTGGTGGCTCACTCCTTTAATTCCAGTACTAGGGAGGTAGAGACTGTAAGCATTTCAACAGATCGGATGGGACAGGTATTCTGGCACTCGGGAGTCATGGCTCAGACGGGAAGGTATCCTGGAGCTGGGGAGCCAAGGACTACCACAGTAAGCGTAGCAGCTTACAGCCCTGCTTCAGGGAAAGGCTTACAGCCCTGCTTCAGAGAAAGGCTTACAGCCCTGCGTCAGGGAAAGGCTTCCCCAGTGTATCAGCTCTGCTCTGGCAGGCGATGGCCTCCCAGCGAAGTTGCTATGGTTCAGCTGCGCTCCCTGGAGAGTGGAGAGTGGAGTGCAACAACTCTGCTCCACCAGGGTAAGGTTTCCTTGGCAGAAGTGTTAACAGCCCTACTAGCTCTGCTCTTCCCAGGGTCGTCTCTGGTCTGCTGCAAAAGAAGGTCTTCACCCGAAACTCATCGAAGGGGTTTATTGGGAGGGAAGAATCCAGGAGACTGGCTGCCCTCTGCCAGAGTGACAGCCACAAGCTAACCAGACACAGAGGATTGGTCAGATTTCAATCTCCTGCTCAGGGATTGGCTAGTTTTCTGTACAGGATTAGGGTCAGATTTGGCTGTTTTCAGGGCCAAAGTGTGTCTTTCCCTGGTTCTTTTTAGCCTTTTGGCTCTAGTTTTAGGGCCAGGGTGTATTTCTTTCACTGGCTCTGATTCCAGGGATAAAGTGTGTTTCTTTGGCACTGGTTTCAGGGTCAGGGTGCATTTCTTTAGTTCTGGTTGCAGGGCCAAAGTGTGTTTCTTTGGCTCTGCTCACAGTGTGTTTCTTTGGCTAGACCCTTTTCCCTACAGAGAGAGACAGATCTCTGTCAGTTCCAGAACAGCCAGGACTGTTACAGAGATGTCCTGTCTCAAAAAAGCAAATAATATATATGCCTCCTCAAAACAATTTGGTTGGAGAAACAGAAGCTATATGCGAGTAGCAAAAGCCCATGGAATCTGGACTAGGTGTAGCAGCTTTAGTGATAAGAACAGTGGTTTCTAAAACCACTGAGCAGAGGCCAGGGCGATGGAGACATTAAAGCACACCCTCAGCACTCTTCCCAGTCTGTGCTCTATCTGCTTGCCTTTCGATTGAGCATTTTGATGACCTCCTGTCTAGCTCTATCACCCAAGGCCCAGCTACACTCAGCTGGGAATTCTGTCACTGGTCTACCAGCCAACCGAGACAGGCATTTTTTGTTGTTTTCTTTTTTGTTCAGGAGGCAAGTTTTCATTGGGGATGTGACTGAGGAAGCCAGAAACAGTGGGGGTTAGCGGTGGCTTGTGTCTCAGCTCAGGTTCCCTTTTTGTTTTTTAATATTTGTGCACAGGATTTTGCTTTTTTTTTTTTTTTGGTTTTTCGAGACAGGGTTTCTCTGTGGCTTTGGAGGCTGTCCTGGAACTCGCTCAGTAGTCCAGGCTGGTCTCGAACTCACAGAGATCCGCCTGCCTCTGCCTCCCGAGTGCTGGGATTAAAGGCGTGCGCCGCCAACGCCCGGCTGGATTTTGCATTTTAATAAACCAAAAAGAAATTTTATCACCCAACTTTGTCTTTTGGTTTTGCCTTTCTTCCCAAAGCTTCTCCCACCTGTTTATGTCTGCACAGCAGGAGTGAGGGGAGGAGCTATCAGGCCTGTAGACACTTTTTTTTTTTTTTGGCTTTTCGAGACAAGGTTTCTCTGCTGCTTTGGAGACTGCTGTAGACACTCTTGAAATGAGGCTTGCATATCTTTTATTAAGGTCACATTAAAAGGAAACATTTCATACAAAACACCAGGGAAAATTGCTTTAAAAATTCTAAATAGTTAAAACTAAGTTGGTAGGTAGACACATAGCTTCTACCATAAATAAGACAGCTTCAGGGTGTTTGTAGAGAGACAGGAAGGCCATAGGCTACAGGTGCAGCACCAATAAGATACTTGAGTCGAGGAGCCTGTCGAGCCTGGCTGACATAGTGGAGAAGGGGGGCCCCTGCGCCTGCTCCTAGCCAGCCCTGTAGCAAAGCCTCTGTGTAACGGTCAATGTCACGGTCAGTCACATCCCAGAGATTACCTAGAAACAAGGGGCTGTGAAGAAAGAATGAAGAAATACAAAGTAAGGGCTCTATAACATAAATATTAGAAAATATTATTGGTGATGGTATGTAAAGAGGCTTGAAGCAATGAGGGACCAAGACAGGAGGAACCTGGGGATAGGGGCAAGCGTTTTAATGCCCTAGAGTAGGTCTCATTCCTTGGCCTTACCAGCCAGCCATGATGTACTTGAGCACGATACCAGCTCCCTCCAGGTTTCCATGCACAGCGAGGGCTGCACTGCTGCAGCCAAACAGCAGGGCCACTGCCCTGCAGCTCAGCCGCATGACAGCCTGCCCATCAAGGAATCGGGCACCAGCTCCATGCCCTGCATAGCTAAGGCAGAGGGAGTGACATAAATAATTACTGAGTTATCATTCCTAGATGCCCCCACCTGTTTCCAGAGGCCCTACAATGTCAAATACTCTCCTCCAGAATGCCCCTCACCCTACTTCCCTGACCCAAACACTCACATATATAAGTCATGCTCTGTCAAGGCAGCCTGCACCTGCTCAAGGCTTGGCACTTCCCCAATCACTCCTTTCCAGCCAGCTTCACTGCAAGGAAAAGACAGAAGTCAGCATACAGCAGACATCATGTAGCAAAGAGGAAAAAGGGGAACAGGAGACAGAAATAAGATGCAGCAGCTGACTCTGGAGCAAGAGCACATACATCACCCCTGCATGGTGTCTCTACCCTTCCCACCCTACTTCATGCCCTCATTTCCAGACCTGCTGAAACTGGCTCGAAATCTCTCCTCTGTGCTTGACAGGTTACTGTGAGGGTTTAGGACGTAGAAGGTATTCCGTGGATCCACACCTTGGTTCAGCACTGATGAGGCCCCAGCCTGAGGGGCAAGCACTGTCAATTAGGGTCTTGGTCTGTCCAGGAGGACCAGCCCCCAGCATACTAAAAGCTCCATTCCAAAACTGACTCATTGTTCAGCCACTGCTATCTTCCCTGGGCTCCAGCATCCCCAGGTCCTATGTCCTGTTTTTCCCACCTCTTTAGTGATATAGTAGCTGAGGAGGAAGTGGAAGGAGGGAAGCCGGGTTACAGGCAGTGCTCGGAGGCTGGACATGCTTTCCCATGGCAGCTTCTGCAGGTCCTAGGGAAAAAGCATTCCAAGGTTACTCTCCCCAGCCACATAAATACAAATGTCTGAAGGGTCCAGAGATGAGCTCATGCGCACTCCCCGCTGGACACTGCTCAGTGCCCCGTCTCTTTACCTTGTCTAGGACCAATATAAGATGCTGACTTCGAGGAGCCACCTGGCTCTGTACCCGTCCTACAGCCTCACTCAGGAGCACTCGGGCACGCTCTGGCTGGTCTGGGCACAGCCCATATGCCAAGGTCTGAACATCCTGGCTGGTGAGGGTTCTAGCACCACTAAGAATGACCTGCAGGAGAATAACGGTTAGTGGGTGTGGGTGCCCCTGGCTGGTAGAAAACCATCACCACAGCTTCCCCTTCCATTTCTTGAACTCACTTTTAGGAGAGTGGAATCTGGATATTCCCAGCCACATTCCTGCAGCAGCTCTTGTAAGCGGGAGGCCTCCTGGGCAGGGCCAGGGTCCGCACTAGATGGCAGCAGCAGCCCCCGCCAGCAGCCCAGCACATGCTCCTCTAAGGAGGTGATGAGTTCCTAGAGCAGGGGCCGAGCTTTCAGTTAGATAGGAAACATATTTAGAAATGAGGAATTTCTATCAGTCTTAGAAAGTCCATATCTTTTCATTTTCTGAGACACTCAAAAATTAAAGACATAGGTGGGTGGTGGTGGTGGTATACACCTTTAATCCCAGTACTCATAAGGCAGGGGGATGTCTGTGAGTTCGAGGCCAGCCTGGTCCACAGTGAATTCAGGAAGCCAAGGCTAACAGAGCAACCCTGTGCCCTCTGTGCCTTTTTCCCCTGCCCTGGGAGCACACACCTCCATCCTTTGATCTAGTGCCAGTCTCCCTGTCCACCATGCTCGTTTCTCAGTACAGCTGCTGTTTTCTTTCTGGTCCTTCTGGATGGCATCAAACTCTTTTAGAATGGAGCTTAGTGGGAACTATGGGAGATGAAGAGTTATGAGATTTGCTTACCTAGTGACTGTCACCTTCCCATCCCTTAGGGGCAGAGTTCAGGCATCCAAGTCCATGAAGGGCAAAATCTAGTCCTTGGTACTAGGAACCCTACCTTGTTTTGGGCAGTGGGTATCTTCACAGTAACTGGAGGGTTGTCCTTTTCCAGTCGGGTCAGTAGGAGAGTGTTGCTCAAGGTTCCAGGCTGGAGGGTGGCCAGGGCCAACACACAGACAATCACCCCTGACAGACACAGAAGACACACCCAGAATCAGCAAACTCAAGAGGCACTTGCAGACCTGCTTTCTACAGACTCCCAGAAGTCTTCCCTGGTCAATGGAGTTCAAGGTGAGCTCTTTTGCCCCTACAGCTCCTGCCAACAGGCAGCTGCTACTTCTTTGTACCCCTCACAGCAATTAACAAAGGCTGAATTCAGAGTAACTGCTCATATCATGTTAGCATTTTTTTAAAGACAGGGTTTCTCTGTGTCCTGGCTATCCTGGACCTCAAGAGATCCACCTGCCTCTGCCTCTGCCTCCTGGGAGTGATGGGATTAAAGGCGTGTACCACCACTGCATGGCTTAGCATGTTTCATTTTAATGTCAGAAGAATCCAGACACCTCAACACACACCTGAAGAAAAATTGTGAATTTCAGAGTATGTCTGGTGTGAGGAAAACAAAAATTAATAAATAGGGCATGACAAACAGGGTATGGTGGTACATGCCTAAGAATCTAGACAAGGTAAAGAGATGGGGCACTGAGCAGTGTCCAGCGGGGAGTGCGCATGAGCTCATCTCTGAGCCCCTCAGACAGAACTTTAGAAACTGAGGTTCGGTATTCCCAAGTTCTAGACCAGGTGAGACCACAAAGAGAGAGAAGAGAGGGAAAGGGAAAGGGAGGGAGAGGGAGAGGGAGGGAGGGAGGGAGGGAGGGAGGGAGGGAGGGAGAGAGAGAGAGAGAGAGAGAGAGAGAGAGAGAGAGAGAGAGAGAGAGAGAGAGAGAGAGAGAGAGAGAGAGAGAGAGAGAGAGAGGCACCCAGAGGCTGAGGAAGGAGGAGTTTGAGCTTGAGGGCTGGGTTACACAGTTAAGGCCCTGTCTCAGAGGGAAGGAATAAAAAGATAAAATATAAGGAGCAAGATCTAGGTAGACTAAAACAATCACTTAAGCTCATCTACTGAGTTCAACTAGCTGTGTAAGAGGACAGGAGACCCGGCCAGGAGCAGACACCATACCACTGGGGATCAGAGCCAGGTGCTCCTGGAAACTGCTCTTCTCTGCCTGGGGGAAGTAGCCAGATCCCAAAGCCCTGAAGGAGAAGAGGCGCTGGATGCGGGCCAGGGGGACATCTCCAGGTCTCTCCTTCAGGTTCAGCCCTTGGAGATGCTCTGCTAGTTCAGGTGACCCTTGGTGCTTCTGGACCTTGCTGTAGGCAACACAAACAGGAATGAGTCCATCTCCACGTAAGTCAGGACACTTACCCAGCAGTTTGCCCAGCATATCCTCAATAGCACTCACCTGAGCTGTCGGTGCAGATGGGTGAGCAGCTGGTGACGACAAGTGATGGAGACAGACTCAGAGACAAGGAAGGCAGTGGCATAGGGGTCCCGGTGGCCCAGACACAAAGCCAAGAAGCGGCAGAGGTGGGCGTAGAGTCCATTTGGAGGGCAGTGGCTGACACCACGGAAAGCAATGCTCAGAGAGTCTGAGATGGAATCCAGGGTAGAAAGATCTAGAAACAAGTCAACATTGTTGCTGAACATGAACCTTTATTTCTTTTTTCTTGGTTTTTCGAGACAGGGTTTCTCTGTATTGTTTTGGAGGCTGTCCTGGAACTCACTTTGTAGACCAGGCTGGCCTCAAACTCACAGAGATCCGCCTGTCTCCGCCTCCCGAGTACTGGGATTAAAGGCGTGCGCCACCACCGCCCGGCGGAACCTTTATTTCTTAATGGGACCTTCTCACCTCCCATAGAAAGAGCAAGGGAATGTGCCAAGAGGGCTGAGATACTCCTAACAGGCATCACTCTACCCTATCCTCCTTAAAGCCCCATTTTACAATGAAGGAAACAAAAGCTCACAGAGATTAAGTCTCTTGCACAAAAATGCAGTATTCAACCAGGCTCAGAGACTTGTAGACCCAGGAAGCCAGAGCCATAGACTGGGAAGATGTGGAGCTGCTTAGCCTGTAATTCCAGAACTTTAGAAACTGAGGTTCAGTATTCCCAAGTTCTAGACGAGGTGAGACCACAAAGAGAGAGGAGGGGGGGGAGAGAGAGAGAGAGAGAGAGAGAGAGAGAGAGAGAGAGAGAGAGAGAGAGAGAGAGAGAGAGAGAGAGAGAGTCTGGCATGGTGGTATGTTGGTGTATGATTGTACTCTTAGCATTTGGTAGGTAGAGACAAGAGCATCCATCAGGCAGCAGTCATCCTTGACTACATTGAAAAATGTAGGCCTACAAGGTGGTGGCGGCGCACGCCTTTACTCCCAGCACTCAGAAGGCAGAGGCAGGTGGATCTCTGTGAGTTCAAGACCAGCCTGGTTGGTCTACAAGAGCTAGTTCCAAGACAGCCTCCAAAGCCACAGAGAACCCTGTCTCAAAAATAAAAAATAAAATAAACAGGAAAAAAAAAAAAAGGAAAAGAAAAATGCAGGCCAGCATAGACTACATGAAACTTTGTCTCAAAACATAAAAGTCGTAAAAAAAAAAAAAAAAAAGCTGAGCCTTTAAATCCCAGTACTTGGCTAGCAAAGGCAAGCAGATATCTGAAGACAACCTGGTCCACAGAGTGCATTCCAGGTGTACACAGTGAGACCCTGTCTGGGGAAAAACTGGGGGGAAACACCGCAGGCTTGGGAGATGGTTCAGTTGTTAAAAGTGTCTCTTGTGCAATCATGAAGGAATCTGTTTGGCTACTCAGTAACCATTTAAAGATCCAGCCAGACACAGTGGCATGCACCTGCAATCTCAGTGCTGAGGAGGCAGAGACAAGTGGACTCCTGGGACTTGGGGAGCCAGCTGAACTATTCAGTGACCTGCAGGTTCAAAAACTAAGATGGAGAAAGCAACTGAGGAAGACGTCAGATGTCAGCCTTTGTCCTCCACATACAAATACACACGTGTGAACACACACACACTCTTTTTTTTTTTTTGGTTTTTTCGAGACAGGGTTTCTCTGTATTGTTTCGGAGGCTATCGGTCCAGCCCGGCCTCGAACTCACAGAGATCCGCCTGCCTCTGCCTCCCGAGTGCTGGGATTAAAGGCGTGCGCCACCAACGCCCGGCCACACACTCTCATTCACATAAAACTGAATATGATGGTTCTTATCTGTAATCCTGAAAGCCAGCCTGGGCTATATAGACAGTGTCTCAAAAATTTTTTCAAAGTTTGTCTCCTAAAAAGGACAGATACCAAGAGACCTATGGGTTCAACCCTTCCCAGGTAACCCAACTCAGTGGTCTGTATACTCACCAATGGGTACAGGAACTGAGAGAGGCGGGAGCCAAGAACTAGGGTCACTATTGGCCTCCTTGTCAGGGTACACGACAGGCAGTTCTGCCTTGCAGGAGTCCCGTCTCAACACCTCACATTCTCCCATGGGCAGATGAGGACCTGCAGCTGACGCCTTCTCAGCTAGGGAGAGAACATGACTTTGCATGATGCTCCCTCCTCCCGCTTCTATCATACATCCCCAAAGCTAGCAAAGGGCTTTCCTTCCTGGGGTGCCAGGGACACCCAACACATACTATACAACACATGCCTCTGCTCCTTATCCTTGCAGTCCTACCTGAGGCTGAGTCTTCCCCATCGGAACCCCTGAGAATTTCAAAGCTCATTTCCAGCTGGCTGTCCATTAGCTCCTCTTCAGGAATCGTTCTCATGATCTCAGGTCCCAGGCTAGCCCGGACACAGAGGGCTGTCTTAGAACTCTCTTCACAATGACTTGATGCCACCTTCTTGGCCCGACGACCTCTACCACTGAGACTGGTGTGTCCAGAGTCACTACTCACAGCAGCTACTGCATCTGTCCTCAAGCTTGGGCCCTTCCTAGTTTGGCTCCGGCCCTGGCCTCGGCCCCGACCACGGCCCCGGGAAGCAGTCCCTCTTCTCTTAGGTTCCTCCTCAAGTTGTGCTTCAGCTGAGACCAGGTCTTCCAGGTCACTGTCATCACTGAAGTTCACCTTCCACGGAGGGAAAGGGGGAGGTAAGGGCCAAGAGACTCAACAATGCCTTCCAACAGCAGGTGGCACTGTGGAGGCATCAACAGGTCTTTCTGATGCTTCAGAACTGACCTCCCTCACTGCCCTTGCCACTCTCAAACCCCACGGTAACTGAGTTTGGAAGGAGGAAGATAGCGAGGATGACAAAGTAGGGAACAGAGTTAATGAAGATGCATGGGCAGGGCAGGCAGATCAACACTCCATTTGGCTATGGGGAGCTACTCTACAAGGACCCTGCTCTGTGGACACCCATATTCATGCCACTGTCACTTAACCACAATTCCAACTTACCTTGAGGCGAGTCTGGACCCTCTTGTGTACTCTGGGGGCCAAGGGAACCTCAGGCTTGCTCTTTGTAGAGTGGACTTCTTCAAATATGGTAAAAGGGATACGAGGGCCAGCCTGCCTAGACCGGCCTGAGGGCTTAGGGGTACAGGGTGTTCTATCCTCTTCCAGACCTTTCTGAGAGATACTATGGAGGGGTGGGGGAGCAGAGGCTATCTGCCGGCGCCCTTGTCCAGAGCATTTTTGTCTCCGAATCTTAGTGGGCTCTATAACTGTGGGACTTTTTACCAATGGTGGCTGCCAGCCCCAGGTGCTTGCAAAAAGTTGAGAAGTACAGCAGCTGAAATTGACCAGCTTTGCAAGAGCCTGAACCAAGAGCAGGTTGGCTCGCCAGAACTCTAAGTACTGTATCCGTGTTGCCACAAACTTCAGTCCTGCTGCCAGGACCTTTCCCAAGTTCTTTTCAGATGTCTGGTTCAGGCATTCTATGGCCAAGTGTGTATACACTTGAGCCATGAGCTCGTCAAAGAGGCTTGGGACAGAAGAGGGGGGGTGCTCTGTGTTTCAATGAAGCTTGAAGATTTTGAGTGAAGCGCTTGGTGGTGGCAGGGCAACCCTTCAGCACGGTTTGCAGTAGATCCAGACCCTGGCCTTTATGTCCCATGGCCAGCTTCGAACCTGCAGTGACCAACACCCAGCGTAGACAGACTGCCGAGAGGACAGGGCTGGCACACAGCAAGCAGCCGCAGGTGGGCGAGTGGGACAGGAAGCCAGGATTGGGCGGGGGCTTGCTTTTCAGGACTGGGGAGGAGTTTGCAGAGGGTTGGACAGGACCAGGTTCCCTGAGCACAGTGGCCACCAGCTCCAAGGCAGGGCCTTTTAGGAAGGGCTCTTCCTCCGGTAGCTGTGGAGAACAGGGGACTGGAGCCTGCTGCTTCCCTTTCTGCATATGGACCTTCTTCACGGAGTCTGGGTGCTGGGTCACCCCACCAAACTCTAGGAAGAGAGAAGATCAAAAATTACAAAACTGAGAAATGGTCTCAAGAAGTCTACCATAAGGGTTCAACCTACTGTACGTGCCATTCACTTACAAATTACTCAGAACATTTATATAACACAAAAAAAAACTCGGGAAATTCTTTTACAAAAAAATCCTAGTATTTTCTTTTCTCTCAACAAGGACTCAGTAGTCACTTTACACCTCACTCCTGTAACTCAAAGCTCTGTGTTCTCACCTGATAGGAGAAGTGCACAGGAGATAACAGAGGTAAAAATATTAGATGAGCTGGGCATGCTGGCACGCACCTTTCATCTCCAGACCCCAAATAGTCATTTCTTTTTTTAAGTTAATGTGTGTGGACATGAGCATGGAACACATACATGTCAAAATCTGAGGAAAGAGCCGGGTGTTGGTGGCGCACGCCTTTAATCCCAGCACTCGGGAGGCAGAGGCAGGCGGATCTCTGTGAGTTGGAGAACAGCCTGGACTACCAATCGAGTTCCAGGACAGCCTCCAAAGCCACAGAGAAACCCTGTCTCGAAAAACCAAAAAAAACAAAAACAAAAAAAATCCGCTAATCCCAGCACTCAGGAGGCAGAGGTAGGTGGATCTCTGTGAGTTGAGGCCAGCCTGGTCTACAGAGCAAGTGTCAGGACAACCTCCAAAGCAATACAGAGAAACCCTGTCTCAAAAAAACAAAAAACAAAATTAAAAAAAAAAAAAACCTCAGCGAAAATGCCGCAGGGTGTGCTGGCTTTAGTCTTAATACTGAGGAAACAAACACACCTCCTATACCTCCTTGAGTTAAAGCCAGTCTGATTTGCTTGGCTTACATAGTGAGTTCAGGGACAGCCAGAACTACACAGTAAGTTGTTCAAATAAACAAACAGCAAAACAAATAAAATAAGCCAAAGGCATTCAGCAGTACTGAAGCCAAGAAGAGTTGGGCTTGTGCAGATCCTCTCTGCAAGAGGGACACTAATGTTCTGCCTGAAGTCAATGTCACTTGGTACCAGACACCTGTCTGATTCAGCATGTAGCCAAACCTTTATATATAAGGACATGTTGCAATACAGATCCTCCCACCAAGCTTGGGAGGGGCCTGGCAGCTCACCTGTGGAAGACTCAAGCAGGAACAGAACCTGCTGCAAGTCTGACTGACAGAGGTCAATGTCACCTCGGGCCAGCTCCAGCTCACCCTTCAGCACAAGGAACAGGGCACACCTTGTGAGAAGAGAACCAGTTAACAGAAAGAAGGCTGCTTGCCTGGCGACTCTCCTCGTTCTTTCCCAAGCCTAGTCCTCAAGCTGACTATGGCCTCTCTGAGGGAACCCTCTGTACAGTCTTACTCCAAATCGCACTCCCAGTACATTTCCCAACTGCATTCCTCACCAAGCTCCCATGGGCATAGGAGCTTAGGGAAAGGCAGTATATGAGGTGTTCTGTACAGACTCATCAGGCCTGTTAGCTTCTAACCTGGAATGACTAGGCATTTCCTACTTAGCCGCAGGATGCCGTCTACCAATCTCTCTAGATATACCATGAACTTCTGCTATCATTGGGGAATACACACACACAAAAGCACACAGCAGGAGCTAGAGTCCTCTCACTTACTGCTGAGGTATCTGCAGCTTGGTTGTAAGTTTCAGTGCCTCCAAGCAAAAGGCCTTGGCTTCACTCACATTCCCCAGACGGCCCAGACGGCCAACCAGCTTCTCAGAGCAGCTCAGCACCTCTGTGAGAACCTGCCACTTTTGCACTAGATTCTCACCTGTAATGAATGAAAGAGACAAGACGTTAGTACAGGCCACAGCCAGCTACTCTGGAGACAAAGCAGCCATCCATCCTATCCAGTGTGTCCAATTGCCAGGGTCCTTCTCTCCTCTTCCTTCACTTACCGTAGTCTAGGAAGGGTGACTCTGATGCTGCCTTCTGAACTGAGAGCACATCACCACCCATGAGCAAGATGACGATGCTTCGGAGGAGCTTGTGGGCATCTATGAGCGCTGTCTCAGGGGTCTGCCAGCCTGTAGTGAGTGAGGTGGAGAAAGATGACTGCAGTATGCGTAACACCTTCAACTAAGACAGCAAACACAAGCTGGGCGGTGGCGGCACATGCCCTTAATTCCAGCACTTGGGAGGCACAGGCCGGAGAACCTCTGTGAGTCTGAGGCTAGCCTGGTCTACAAATAGAGTTTCAGGACAGCCAGAACTATTACACAGAGAAGCCCTGTCTGTGCAACAAACCAAAAAATTAGTTGATAGATTGATTGATTGATTAACTAAGGAAAAAAACTCCAAGCACAAGACACTCTTTTCCTTCTGCATCTTAGACAGACAGAACTAGTCAAACACAGAACTCCTTCGCTGAGGTCCCCTGAGGAGTCGAGAAGGGTGTCTTAGAATTCCTTTTAGTTTAATATTCCAAGCAGCTACTGGCTAAGTGATTAGATGCAGCAGGTGAAGTGAAACCCATCTGCTACCACAGGCACAGGTAGGTTTTAGATAGGCTGTTTCACATGCAAAGAGCAGACAACAGACTAATCATGACCATTGTCTAAGAAGGCTAAGAGCTCCCTCTTTCACCTTGATCCCAGAGCTGCTCACGCAGGGCACTTGAGAGAATGTTTGATGAGAGGCTAAGGTAGAAAGCCAGGATTTGCAGGGCCTGGACACGTAGCAAGTACCAAGCCTTGGATGTCTTCTGGAGGGCAGGATCCCGAAGGACAGAAAGCAATAGAGAAACACCCTCCGTCACCTGGGAGAGAGAAAAGCCAGAGAAGAGTCACAGATGGCCGGGTGGTGGCACACACCTTTAATCTCAGCACTTGGGGAGGCAGGGGCAGACAAATTTCTGAGTTCAAGACCAGCCTGGTCTATAAAGCCAGGGCAACACAGAAAAACCCTGTCTTCAAAAACAACAAAACAACAACCCTCCCCCCCCCCAAAAAAAGGAAGAAAAATAGAAAACTAGAGCTTGATCAGAACAAGAGATGATCAAGACACAGCTAATTTGGTGAAAACCTGTTTGGCACTTATTAGATTTTCTAGATCAGAGATCCAGTGCTTCCTCACTCCCAAACCACTGTTTCCTCTTTCTTTTTGAGAAAGTCTTGCTAGGCAGGCCAGGCTGACTTCAAATTCTAGCTCCCCAGCCTCAGCCTTTTGAGTGTTGGGACTGCAGGGATGATTACCATACCAGTTCCTAAAACTCTTTATGTATCTTTCCACTGCAGAAACAGGCAAAGAAAGAAATTAATGTCTACTACCAGTGAGGAAATCTCAACTGCTTTTCAGGGTCCTGAACATTCTGCCTAGCTGCAGGGAAATCTCAGAGGCCAGACAAATAACATGAAAATCCCAAAAATTTCCCAAGGTTCAGAGCCTTTGGGAATTAGGAAAGTAAGAAGAGAACTAGGGTGTAGCTCAGTGACAGCATTGGTATAGCATGCAGAAGTTCCTGTCAAGCACCACAAAACAAAAGGAAAATAGGGGGGCTGGGGAGATGGCTCATAGACAAAGACTCTGCCATGCAAACATCAAACTTGAAGACCAACATTCAGAGCACCAGAACCCATGCAAATACTAGACGGTCATAGCAACATTCATAATTCTAGCACTAGAAAGGAAAGGCAGTGGGTCCCTAGAGCAAGCCAGTTTACCACACACTAGTTATACAGGCAAGCTCTGGGTTCGACTGAGTTCCTGTCTGCAAATAACATGGGCAAGTGGAAATTACCTTCTGGTAAGACCAGCAGAGTTGACTTCGAAACAGAGCACAGGTCAGGGAAAGGAGCTGGTATGTGTCAGTAGTCTGATCCAGACTCTTCAGGCTTGATTCTGCCTCTTCCAGGTATAACTAAACAATCAGACAGATGATGCCAGAGGACTGCTAGTTATAGGCTTTTCAGATTAAAATGGAGTAAAGCATTTTCAAGCAAGGCATTGAATAATTATCTCAAATATTACAATCTACATAAAGCTATACATTTGATCCTTACAACACTTTCAGTTAGCTCTCTCTCTCTCTCATACACACACACACACACACACACACACACACACACACACACACACACAGCTGCCTAAAGAGCAATAAAGAAACACCCTCAGTCACCTGGGAAAAACAAAAAGTCAGAGAAGTCACATAAGCTTAAGATATCCCTGAGGGTCTGCAGTTCAAATCTCTGCCTTTAAGAATGAAAAAAGAAGCTGGGCAGTGGTGACGCATGTTTTAATACCAGCTTTTGGGAGGCAGAAGCAGACAGATCTCTGTGAGTTGGAGACTAGCCAGATCTACAAGAGCGAGATCCAGGACAGGCTCCAAAGCTATACAGGGAAACCCTGTCTGGGGGAAAAAAAATGAAAAAGAAAGGGGGCTGAAGAGAGGGTCATCAGATAAGAGTACTGGCTGCTCTTCCAGAGGTCCTGAGTTCAATTCCCAGACCCAAACAGTGGCTCACAACCATCTGTAATACTATCTGATGCCCTCTTCAGGGATGCAGGTATACATGCAGAGCACTCATACATAAAATATAAAGAAAATGAAAACAGCAATTTTTTGAAAAAAGTTGTGTTATAAAGTCAGGGTAGTATCATTTGAATTATGGGAAAGAGATAATCAGATCTGTGCCAACTGGCAGAAAGCAGAAGATGAAATCAAAAAGGGAAAAACTGGGTTTTAGCATAGTGACACAGCACTTATCTAGTGTGCCTCAGGCCCTGGGTTCAACCATGAGCACTGCCAAGAAAAAAAAGGGGGGTTGGACGTTGGGGGGGTAACATGCCTTTGACCCCAGCAGAGGCAGGTGTGGTCTACAGAATTTCAAGACAGCCAAAGCTACACAGGGAAACCTTGTCTCAAAAAAAAAAAAAAAAAAAAAAAAAGAGAGAGAGAAAAAAAAAGGGTAGACAGGGTGGGTGGAGAAACTGAAAGCCAATTAGAAGTATGACAGTTTCGTCAACTAAGTCAAGAGAGATGGGTGGGAAACAGGGCAGATCTACAGACCTATGAGTGACAATTCTTGTAATAGGCAGGAAAGAAGCCTCTAGTTCCCACGTTCTAACGTGCTACAGTCAAATGTTGGGTAGAGAGTTGTCTCTTTACCACCCCATCTTCTCAAGGAGAGATGAACCTTCAAAGCCACACTTGCCCTTGAGCCCCAGACTCAACAAGCCAGCACTTACCTGGGCATAGCTGGGACAGCTGAGGCTCAAGAGTTGCTGGGTAAGCTGGCAGGAGGCGCTGACTGCCTTTGCATGGTCCTGTAGTCTCTTAGATACGGTCTGAAGGAGCAGGAGAGTCTCCAGAGCCTGCAGGGGCTGTTTATCCCAGAGCAGAATGTTGACCCTGCTCCCGTGAGAGCCTGTATCCCCTGCCACCAAACACCACCCCCAGGCCTCTGAAATGTTAGACGTCAGGGTGTTCATACACTCTCAAAATCTATCAACCATGCTCACATCTATAAACCACCCTGCCCCTCCACCCCTCTCTTTCTCTATTTTGGGACTGAGTCTCATGTGACCCAGACTGGCCTCAAACTTGACTATGTTATCCAAACTGGCCTGGGAGGGGGGCACATCGTTAATCTCAGGACTCAGGAGGCTGAGGCATATTTCTGATGAGGCCAGCCTGGTCTACAGAGTGAGTTCTAGGATAGTCAGGGCTACACAAAGAGAAACGCTGTCTCTAGAAAAAAAAAAAAAAAAGAAAAACTGGCCTTGAATTCCTATCCAGCCTCTACCTCTCCTATGCTAAGACCACAGCCCCTGTTGTTCCAAAACACAGCCACAGTGACAGGGCATCGTGGCTGTACTTACAATCCCAGCACTGAAGAAGCTAAGATAGTACCATAGTTGTGAGTTACAGGCCAGTCTGGACTACATAGACTCTATTTAAACAAAACAAAACAAACAAAATAATAATAATGGTAGTGACACTCTTAATCTCAGCTTGATCTAGACTGGGAGCTCTAGGCAAGCAAGACCCTCACAGTGAGACCCCGCCTCCAAAATAAGTAAATAAATAGAAAAATAAAAACTAAATAAATAGGAAATGTAGTTCGATTACTAAACTGTCTGCCTAGAATGCAAAGTTTCTGGATGTGATCCCCAGCACCACAAAAATTAAATTAAAAAGCCTAGATGCCAATCATCACTGGTAAATGGGTGCTTACTGTATACCAGGCACTGTGCCAGGTTTCCATGCTCATTTAATTTGCATAGTAATTCTAATCTCAATTGTACAGAGCAGGAAACTAAGATTCAGAAAGATCAGGTTCCTGTAAGTTTTCATGTGGTAGAGACACGACTTAAACCTAGGTCTGAGCTAACGTTCAACCTCCTTGTGTTGGAAATACGTCCTAAAAGTGCACACTAATAGTGTGTGACTTTTAAAACCATATTTTATTTTTCTGGTGGTAACTGGGGTTTAACTCCTAAACATACTCAGGAGCTACCGAGCTACTTCCTCAGCTTTTTCTTAATTTTGGAAACAGAGCTTCATGATAATCTTAAGGCTGGAGTAAAGCTTGGGATTCTTCCCTGTTCCTGCCTGAGCTTCCCAAGTAGCTGGGGTTGTAAGTGTGTGCTGCCACACCCACTTTGGCTTTTCTTTTATGGTTGTGAATATGGGGTGAGTCCAAGGAATAGCACCAATCTGTGAAGCCCCTTAAAGTTATACTAAAAACAAAGTTGGCGGGCTGGTGAGAGAGCTCAGCAGATAAAGGCTCCTGTCACCAAGCTTCATAACCTAAGTTAGACAGCAGGACCCACATGGAAGGAGAGAACTGACTCCCACAAGTTGTCCTCTGACTGCCATACTCACATCCACACACTTTGAATAAACAGTTTTTCAAAATGTGCAAAATTGGGCTTCATATAGTCACATAGGCCTATAACCCAGAGGTAGAAGCAGGGGGATTGCAAGTTTAACCCTTGCCTAGGTTCCACAATGAGATCTCTTCTTTTTAAAATAACTTTTTATGTGCATCGGTGTTTTGCTTACATGCACGCCTGTGTGAAGGTGCCTGATCTCCTGGAACTGGAGTTATAGACAGCTGTGAGCTGCCATGTGGGTGCTGGGAACTGAACCTGGGTCCTCTGAATGAACAGCCAGTGCTCTTAACCTCTGAGCCATCTCTCCAGCCTCCACAGTGAGATGAGATCTAGTTTCAAGCATAAGGAAAATGGGGCTGGAGAGATGGTTCAGTGGTTAAGAGCACTGGTTGCTCTTGCAGAGGCCTGGGATTTGAGGGGCAGCACCTACATGGCTGCTCACAGTGGTCTGTAATTCAGTTCTAGGGGATCTGACCCCTCTTCTGACCTCTGCAGGCACTGGGCATGCATGTGGTGCATGTACACACACACAGGAAAAACATTCATGCACATAATTTTTTCTTAAGTGAGAGGAAGCAGGACCTAATGGTCCAGCTACTTGGGAAGCTGAGGCAGAAAGGGGACAGGAAGTTCAAAACCTACCTACACAGTACAGACAACTTGAAGACATCCCCCCTCTCTCTAAGATTAAAAAAACTATTATATGAGTTTCTGTTTGCATTAATGTGCACCATGTGCCTACAGTGCCCACAGAGGCCATAAGAGGGCATCAGATCATCTGGATCTGGAGCTACAGACGGTTGTGACCTGTTATGTGGGTGTTGAGAATTGAACCCAGATCCTCTGGAAGAGCAGCCATTAGCCGCTGAGCCATCTCTCCAGCTCCACATGTAGAAATTCTTAAAGCTAATGTTTGGGTTTTCCATTTACACAAAACATTTTCCATGCATCATATGCTAAATGTGATTACCCTAAGGTGAAATTATTGTTTCCAAACCTTTTTGTGGCACTGTGGATCACATCCAGGACTTTGCATTGCTGGACAAATACTCACCCACTGAGTTATAGACTTTGCCCTTTTTTTTATTTGTTAGTTTTTTTGAGACAGGGTTTCTCTGTGTATCTTTGGAGCCAGTCCTGGAACTAGCTCTTGTAGACCAGACTGGCCTCAAACTCACAGATCCACCTGTCTCTGCCTCCTGAGTGCTGGGATTAAAGGCGTGAGCCACCACTGCCCAGCTTGCCCTTCTTTTGGTTTATATGAGACAGGGTTTCTCTGTATTGTTTTGGAACTCGCTCTGTAGACCAGGCTGGCGTTTTTTTTTTTTTTAAAGGAGAATATTACCATGTAATGCAAGCTGGTCTGTAACTCAATCCTCCTGCCTCATCCTCCCAAGTGCTAGCATAGGAAGTGTGTGGCACCACACCTAGCAGAGCCTATTAACATTTAGGTTGCGTGTCCTCTCAGCAGGTGCACAGGTCAAAAGTGAGGGAGCTCAGTTTCTGGTTTAACCCCGTGACATAGACTCCATCCATCACTTCTTCCATTACCTTTGCCACCAATTGATAGAGGGCCGCGAGGATTTGCAGGGACGCTGCAGTCTGCTGGAGACACCGCACGGCTGGAGCAGGCTCCTTGGTAAGCACTTCCTTCCACAGGCTCAGGGCTTGGTCCAGGCACTTGGACTGAGCTGTAAATCAGAAGGTGACCTCTTTTTCTACTTGGCCAATGGAAATAACTTGGCTTTCCCTGGCCTTTGTACCAGGCACATCCTCAGCACAAACCCAGCCTCTTTCCCACTAGTGGTATCTGCTAGCCACACTACATTTACTGTCCTCACCCGCATCCGCAGCCAGGTTGAAGGCAATGTTACTGTACAGAAAACGATCTTCTTGGATTTTATCTTCATAGTTTAGATCATTGACTTCAAATTCCTCCATGTTAGCAGGGGCCTGGGCTCTCCGATCCCGCTCAATACCCTGGTTGGGAGAGAAGAGAGACTGATACATAAACCAGTACTGGTACCAGCTCAGTGGGAGAAGCCCAGGACAATCGACCCAGGCCCAGTAGCACAGGCTCAGTTCCACTTACTTCCTGCATTTTGGCCTCCAAGGTACAGATGTAGAGCCATAACAAGGCCTGTGCTTTATCGTCCAGAAGGCAATCCTGCTCCTGTGCCTCAGGCCTCACAGACTCCAGAAGCTGCAGGGCTTCCTGGATAGCATCCAAGGCAGAGCTGTAGAGGCAGATGCACTTAAGTGGGGCCCACTACAGACAACTGGACACATTTCAGTTCCAATGACCATAAAATGAAGGGAGTATTCAGGAACAGAGCAGGAAACCAACTCCCAGAACGTAATATTAGGACAAGGAGCAAAAGAGGCCTCTCTAGTCATCCCTCCTCACCAGTCGGTCTGCTGGGAAAAGCTGTGGTAGCATAGCACCTGAGCCAGTTCTACCAGGTGGGTGGCTCGTGCCCAGGCCCCAGCCGCTGTCTCTTCAGGGCTAAGCTCCAGCAGATCACAGATGACATTGAAGCGCTCCTGACCAGTGTCAGCCCGCACCGCCTTGTAGGCCCGCAGCTCCTCCCTCAGGAGCAGGACCTGGGTCTCTGGGTCCCAGCAGCTTAAGCTGTCTCGCAAAGTCCTGAAGGGCAGATCAGCACCTCAGTCAACACCTTGAGGAGTCTTTGCATCCTTGCTACAGAGCCTCAGCCTTAGGTTGGCACTCCCTGTACTTTCAACTGTGCCTTTAAAACTCTTAATCGGGTTACATGGCTTCTCTAATGCAGGGGGCTGCCTGAGGGATCACATCCAAACCTGCATCCCGGATTTGTAAAACCCTGTGGCCTGACTTCTGCCCACCTAGACTACCTCATTGGGCATGCCAAGCCCATCCTACCTCCATCCTCCATGCTGACTTTCTCAAGCCACCTCCCATCCCCAAGCTTGTTTCTATCCCAGTGTTCTCCTGCTCTGAGTTCTCTATCCCAAGGCATTTACGATGGAGTCTACATCTTCAGGACTTTCATACATCACTTCTCCAAAACAGACTTGCCTAAGTAACCCACCTAAAGTCCATCCCTCTTTAAACAGGTCATGGTTTGTCTTCATGAAATATACAATGTACACTGTTGTATTTCTCCGAGTAGAGCATTAAACCAAACCAAACAAGAACATTGCTTCTTCTTACCCCTATAACCCCTATACCTAGTGGCTAATATGCAGTAAACACTCAATGTGTAACTGATGGATGAGTGAATCATTGCCTTTCTCAAAAGGTTCGCGGAGGCTGGGCATGGTGGTGCACCCCTTGAATCCCAGCAGTAGGAAGGCAGAGGCTGAGGATCTTTTTGAGTTCAAGGCCAGCCTGGCCTACATAGCAAGTTCCAGTACTATATATAGAGAGATGTCCAGTCCACGGGCAGATATAACTATCCTCCTCTTCAACTCACTTCAGCTGTAGCTCCTTGTCTCCTGCCTTGGCTGCATCCATTTTGACCCGAACCCAGAAAGTGACTGGCTCGGCCATGTGCTCAAAGCTGTAAGGTTGCAGAGCTGCCAGCCATAAGGTCACCATCTCGCAGCCCTGGGCCTGTTTACCCAGCTTCTTCAAACTCTCCACATGCAGTCGGAAGCACCTATGCAGCTGAGCAGAGACAGGTTAGAGTTGGAGCATGGAGCCGATGAGTGTACGCACAGCAGAGCACACATTCACCACTCAGGAGGAGGACAGCAGGTGGTCCTCCGGTTTCTCTACACACCAGAAAACTAAGCACCCAGGTCACCTCCACTTCAGGGGCCCCTCGTGATCGATATCCACAGAGCTAAGGACCGGGCGCACCTCCTGTGGCCTTTCCTCAGCACAGGGCACTGTCTGGTCCTGACAGAAATTCAGGGCCACTCTTATTCTTAGAGCTCCCCTCTCCTTCCTAGCTGGCTAAAATCAGACCAACCCTTGGTTTCTTGCACCATCCACTCCTTTCCTGCCCAGGCTACCATAGGAGCCCCACTCCCAAGGCTCACATCCTGCATTGTTTGCCACAGTGGCAGCAAAGCAATTCAAATGCCAACCTGATGTCATGGCTCCACTTATATATCATCCCTCACTTGAGGCCCTGAACAACCCATGTCACTTGCCAATCCAGCCAACCCATCCTTTCAGCTCGTTCTTGCTTAAGGCTGGGGGGAGGGAGGCACGGACACAGACACCACACTTTTAAAATAAAATATGTAGATGTCTGTGCTCTAGGGCAAAAGTCGGATGTAATTAACTTGAGGCAAGCCTTAGAAGAGAAAGTCCCTGAAGTTCTCGGGTGATTCTCATGGGAAGCTAGGATTGGAACTGGCTTAGGAAGAAGTCCAAAGTGAAAACCAGCCATTTCCAAGATAAAGACTGCCAGATGTGAGGTGGAGGCAGGTGTGGGGCTCCTCTGAGTTGAGACCCACTTGGCCTACATAGCAAATTCCAGGTCAGCTGAAGCTACACAATGAGACCCCGTATCAAAAAAAAAAAAAAAAAAAAAAAAAAGAGGACAGGAAGGCGGGAGCAAGAAAAAAGTAGCAGCACATCAAGGAGTTAGGGGAACGCTCCCTGGGTTCTGGTGTCCACCCTCTGTACTGCAGAGCCGCAGTCTGCCCCCCACCCCAGCATGACTCCCTCTGCCTACCTTCTCAGGAGGCACCTCGGGACAGACACCTGACTTTGCCAAGCCCAAGTGCTGACAGACTGGCTCCAAGATAGCACAGGCCTCCTCATAGAGCCTGTGACTGAAGAAGCTGTAGGCCAAGTTGCTGCTGTAAGAGGCTGCAGGGAGAGAAGAGACAACTGACCGTCACAGCGGCTCCAAGTCCGTCTGGCTGAGAGGCTCAGCCTGGAGTCAGCTCATCAGCTTCTGGTTGAGAGCTCGTCAGGGAACACAAGGGAGGACAAGTTTCTCCTCAGGTTCCACTTCAGCCACTGCCCACCATCCCTGAGAAGATTTATACCAGTAGCCCCTCATCACTTCCTGTGGAGGGCTGAATCTTGACCTATCTTGCCTCCTTCTCCTTCCCTCATGCCACTAAGGCCACACTACTTTCCTTTGTATTCCTTATCAGACCCTCTCCAGTCTTCAGCATTTTGGCACTGGCTGTTTGCTGTGCCAGGGATGTTATTTCCTAGGCAGCATCATAGCTAACACCTTCCAAGTCTTTGTTCAAGCCACACACCCACCAGGTAGACCCTAAACACCTAATTCAAAATGGTACTTGTACTCTGTCCCCTTCCTGGATTTTTCTTTCATTTTTTTAAAAAAGACTTAGACTACAGATGACTCAGAGGTTAAGAGCACTGGCTGCTCTTCCAGAGGTCCTGAGTTCAATTCCCAGCAACCACATGGATCTGAAGCCCTCTTCTGCATAAAGGCATACATAAAGATAGACCACTCAAACATAAAATAATCTTTAAAAAAAACTGTTTTTGGTTTTTCGAGACAGGGTTTCTCTGTGTAGCTTTGTAGACCAGGCTGGCCTAGACCTCACAGACATCTGCCACGTGAATGCTGGGATTAAAGGCATGGGCCACTACAGTCCGGCTGTTTTTTTTTTTTTTTCTTTTTTGGTTTTTACGAGACAGGGTTTCTCTGTATTGTTTTGGAGGCTATCGGTCCAGCCCGGCCTCGAACTCACAGAGATCCGCCTGCCTCTGCCTCCCGAGTGCTGAGATTAAAGGCGTGCGCCACCACCGCCCGGCTTGTTTTGTTTTTTAAAGATTTATTTATTTATTATGAATACAACATCCTTCCTCCATGTATGTCTGCACATACCAGAAGAGGGCACCAGATCTCATGACAGATGGTTGTGGGCCACCATGTGGTTGCTGGGAATTGAACTCAGGACCTCTGGAAGAGCAGTCAGTACTCTTAACCTCTGAGCCATCTCTCCAGCCCCAGCTGTTTGTTTTTTTTTTTTAAATATTTATTTATTGTGAATAATATTTATTTATTGTGAACATTCTGCCTCCCATTTATGTCTGCACATCAGAAGAGGGCACCAGGATCTCATAACAGATGGTTGTGAGCCACCATGTGGTTGCTGGGAATTGAACTCAGAACCTCTGGAAGAGCAGTCAGTGCTTTTAACATCTGAGCCATCTCTCCAGCCCCAGCTGTTTGTTTTTTAAGACAGTAAATACTCAAGTAACTCTGACTGTCCTGGAATTCATACTGCTGACCAGGCTGGCCTCAAACTCAGAGACCACTACTGCCTGGCTCCAGTCAATGTTCTTTTTTTTTTTTTTTTTTTTTTTTTTTGGTTTTTCAAGACAGGGTTTCTCTGTGGCTTTGGAGGCTGTCCTGGAACTCCCTTGGTAGTCCAGGCTGGTCTCGAACTCACAGAGATCTGCCTGCCTCTGCCTCCCGAGTGCTGGGATTAAAGGCGTGTGCCACCAATGCCCGGCTTTCCAGTCAATGTTCTTAACCACTGAGTTATCTCTCCAGCCCCATGAGCTTCCCTTTCTAATACTATTCTACATGTATCCCATTTTTCACCACTTCTTTTAAACCTGTTATTTTTTATGTATGTGCTCATATCCCAAAGTGCATGTGTGAAGGCCACAGGACAACCTGAAGGAATTGGTTCACTTTCTATCATGTGGATTCCAGGGATCAAACTCAGGTCATCAGCCTTTACTGGATGAGGTATCTCCCCGGTTCCCACCGGGGCTTCTGAGACAGGATCTCACTTTGTAGCACAGGCTGACCTGCATTCATGGGAATACTCTCTCAGCCTCCCTAGAGCTAGGATCACAGGAGTGAGTCACCATGCCCAACTCTGACTGCTTCAAAAATTATCTTTTAAGATTTTGATTTGAAGCTGGCAGAGACAATCAGATCTCTGAGTTTGAGCAAGTTCCAGGACAGACTCCAAACTACACAGAGAAACCCTGTCTGGAAAAACAAAAAAAGACTTTGTTACATTATGTGTATAAATGTTTTGCCTGCTTGCATCTGTACATATATGCCAGGTACCCACGGAGTACAGACGGTTATTAGCTTTCAGCTGTCATATGGGTGCCGGGATTTGAACCCAGGTCCCTTGGAAAAGCAGTCAGTGTCCTTAACTGCTGAACCATCTCTCCAACCCACCTCTTCTCACTTTTTAACATGTTAATAATTCATATTCAGTTACCTTTTCCTCCAAACAAAAGCATGGTTCCAGTGACAGGGATATATCTAATTACTTGGCAGTTTTTTGCTTGATTTTTTTTCCCTAAGAGTTTTTCTGTGAAACAGTCTATATAAGACACTCTGTAGACCAGACTGGTCTCAAATGCAAGAGATTCACCTGCCTCTCCCTCCTGAGTGATGGGATTAAAGGCGTGCACCACTGGCACCAGCTGCTTGGCAGTTTTGTTTGTTTGTTTTGGTTTTTCGAGACAGGGTGTCTCTGTATTTTTGTGGAGGCTGTCCTGGAACTCCCTCTGTAGACGAGGCTGACCTCAAATTCAAAGAGATCCTCCTGCCTCTGCCTCCCCAAGTGCTGGGAGTAAAGGTGTGCGCTACCAACACCCAGCTTGGCAGTTTTGCTGAATGAATAAATGTCAGTAAATTATTTATGGAGTTGAAGGGGAGGGGGCAGTTCTAAGGCTAAACTCAGGGCATTGCATATGCTAGGCAAATGCTCTACCACTGGTCCACATTCTCAACCTAATGCAGTTTCTCAAAATATACATTGTAGTCAGGTGTGGTAGTACATGTCCTTAATCCCAGCATTCAGGAAGCAGAGGCAGGATTTCTGTAAATTTGAGGCCAACCTGGTTAACATAGTAAAACCCAATATCAAACAAACAAATAAATTAATTGCAAAAAAATAATAATAATAGTGATTGCCTCTGCAAAGGGAAACTGAGCGGAGAATGGAATAGGGACTCTTATACCATATGACTTAAAAAAAATTTTTTTGAGCCAGGTGTTGGTGGCACATGCCTTTAATCCCAGCACTCAGGAGGTAGAGGCAGGCAGATCTCTGTGAGTTCGAGGCCAGCCTGGTCTACAGAGTGAGTTCCAGGACAGCCTCCAAAACAATACAGAGAAACCAAAAAAAAATTTTTTTGAGACAGGGTTTCTCTGTGAAAAAGGCCCTAGCTGTCTTGGAGCTAACTCTGTAAACCAGGCTGGCCTCGAACTCAGAGGCAGAGGCAGGTGGATCTGTGAGTTAGAGGCCAGCCTGGTCTACAGATCAAGTTCCAGGACAGGATCCAAAGTAATACAGAAACCTTGCCTGGGGAGGGAAGGGGGGAGTTACCCAGTGGTCCACACCTTTAATCCCAGAACTCAGGAGGCAGAGGCAGGCATATCTCTATGAGTTCAAGACCAGCCTGATCTACATAGTGAGTTTCAGGACACCCAGAGCTAGGTAGAGACCCCATCTAAAAAACAAAAAGCAAAAAATTAAAATATAACTTGTGATCCCAGCACTTTAGGAGGCTGAGGCAGGAGTACTGCTATGAGTTTGAGCCCAATTTGGACTACATAGAGCGACTCCAGTTTGAAAAAAAAAAAAACTAACAAATATAAAGGCTATAATGTTGCATATTAGGCACAAATGTTTTTTATAAAACAAACACCAAATCAAACTACAAAATATAAGGCAAAAATTAGAACCCACTGTCATAAGCCCCAACATGTCTCTCCTGGCATAAATACCAGAGTGACTGATCCTTATACACAGTTCTCAAACCTAAGGGATTCACTGGTCAGAAATAAACAGCAAGTACTACTTGGCAGCCTACCATGTAACAGTTCTCCCCCCACAACTGTATCTGAGCAGCAAGGCACTAACCAGTCAACCCCAGGTAGTCAGTCAGCTCTCTGCCCGACAGGCCCTTTAAGGCCTCCAGCATCCAGACAACAGTAGATCTGCAACTGTCCACTAGCTGGGCCAGCTCAGCTGCCTAAAGGGACAAGAAGGTTAAAGGGTGAGAAGTCATGCCAGGCCCACTGGGTCTTCCACCTTGCCCCATGCCCGAAACGAAAGCAACCCCAAAGCTCTATTTTTTCGGTTTTTCAAGACAGGGCTTCTCTGTAGCTTTGGAGCCTGTCCTGGAACTCGCTCTGAAGACCAGGCTGGCCTCGAACTCACAGAGATCTGCCTGCCTCTCTCTGCCTCCCCAGTGCTAGCATTAAAGTTGTGCGCCACCACCGCCAGGTTCCCCAAAGCTCTACTAAGAAGCAACCACAAACCCAAAGACCAAAGCTACTTCTTGATTCCCAGATGGTACCTGACAGCCTTGGGCAAAGTCGTAAACCATCCCAGTGAGGAGGTGAAGACCCTGGAAGAGCATCTGAAGCAAAGGCTGCTGCTTGGAGGAAACCTCACAGACCTGAAGAAGGAAAGGGCAGCTGGTCTGAAACTCAGCGACGGTGAGCTCAACAGAGTGCTTGCCAGGCACAGCCCAAAGGGCAGCGTACAAGGACCCAGAAGTTCCAGTTCTTCACACAACCACATCCCCACCCGGCCTCTAGGTCCTTAACTCACGTCTCGAAGCTGCCGGACAAGGGAGCAGTACCCTCCAACAAAAGCAAAGAGCTCTGATATGGCATCAAGTCCACAGTGCCTCTTGATGCCTCTCTCTAGGCCTGAAAGGAAGAACTGGCAACTGTCATACAGTGCCCGAAGCGGGGGCCATGGTGCCTCCAGACTGCTGCTCAGAAGAGCCGATGCCTTCATCAGAAGCTGGGCCACTGCCTCTGGTTTTTTTTCTGCAGCTTCCAGCAGCTCAACCCCCAACTGGCATAAGTGGAGGCTGGGAGCTACACTGCTGTTCTCTAGGTGGTCACGAGCCTTTGCTACTGCGCTGGTAGCCTTGTGGTGGTGGTGGCTCCAGCAGAGGCGACGGCAGTGTTCCAAGGTGAGTTCCAAGAGGCAGAGGGCCCTCTGGGGAGAAAGTGGACCAGGAGAGCGACCGCCCTCACCTACTAAGACGCTGATCACATGCCTAGAAAGCAAGTCATATAGGAAGTCAGCATCTATTTCGTCTAGACCATGTCCACTAGCATCGAACAGCTGATAGGCAGCGACCACTCGGCAGGCTGTCGGAGAAGCAAAGTGAGGAACCTCACAAGGGACACTGCCATCCTCCAAGAGCACTAAGAAGCTCAAGGCCTTCAGCCGAGTTGACAATGCAGCTCGCCGCTCTGACAGTGCCTCTGCTCCCTTCCAGAGCAGAGAGAAACTGCCCCGAGCCACGGCCTCATAGTCCTGAGGGGCAGCCTCTCGAGAGCTCTGTACCAAGCAGGCATGGAGAGGCTGGGCAAGGCACAGCACAGTCTCTGGGCTTCCCTGAGCCAAACCATTCCGAAGCAAGATGAAAAGAATCCGTTCCAGATAGAGAGGAGGGCGCTGTGGGGTGGACGACAAATAGCCATCACAGGCCAGCTCTGCCAGGTCCAGCAGACTCCTCAGATGCCCAGGGCAATCGAGCTTGGCAGTCAACTGCTGGTTGCAAGCCCTCAGGACAGCGTCACAGGTTTGTCTTCTTTCAGCATCAGATCGGCTGCTGGGAAAATCAGTTTGAGCTCTGGACAGGAACTCCTAGGAGGAGAAAGAGATAATAAGCAGGGTGAACAGAAAAGGACGTGGAAAAGCCAGGCGGTGGTGGCACACGCCTTTCATCCCAGCACTCGGGAGGCAGAGGCAGGCGGATCTCTGTGAGTTCGAGGCTGGGCTGGACCGATAGCCTCCAAAACAATACAGAGAAACCCTGTCTCGTAAAAACAAAAACAAAAAAAAAAAAAAGAAAAGAAAAAAAAAACAAGAAAAGGATGTGGAGAAAGGAAAGGAATGAAAAACAGGGTCACACAGACAAGGATTCCTCTCTCTCCCTGTCTCCAAATTAAGGCAAAACACATCAGACTTGGTGGCACAGGCCTGTGTTTAACGCAAAAGGGGTGGAAAGCTCAAGACCTTCCTGGGCTTGAGTGTGTTCAAGGCCAGCTGGGGCAATTTAGTGAGACACTACCTCAAATAAAAAATTGAAAACAACCCAGGCATTCCAGCACACGCCTTTAATCCCAGCACTTGGGAGGCAGAGCCGGCGGATCTCTGAAATTCAGGACAGCCAGTCTCTGAAAACAGATATATCTCAGTAGTGAAGTACTGTCCTGCACATGCATGGGCTCCTAGGTACAATCCCCAGTATGGAAAACGGAGAGAGAGAGAGAGAGAGAGAGAGAGAGAGAGAGAGAGAGAGAGAGAGAGAGAGACAGACAGACAGACAGACAGAGAGACAGAGACAGAGAGAGAGAGAGAGAGAGAGAGAGAGAGAGAGAGAGAGAGACAGACAGACAGACAGACAGAGAGACAGAGAGACAGAGACAGAGACAGACAGAGAGAGAGAGACAGAGAGAGAGAGAGACAGAGAGAGAGAGACAGAGAGAGAGAGACAGAGAGAGAGAGACAGAGAGAGAGAGACAGAGAGAGAGAGACAGAGAGAGAGAGAGAGAGAGAGAGAGAGAGAGAGAGAGAGAGAGAGAGAGAGAGAGAGAGAGGAGAAGGCAGATGGTCTCAGAAAACTAGGTCTCCCACCTTCAAGTCACACAGCAGCTCCTGGGCGTCCTTCTTGCTGCATAGCAGAGCCGCGAAGTTGACTCCTTTGAAGTTCCTCATGGCAAAAGGCTAGAGAGAAGGAAGTGGATTGTAGAAGGCAGCGAAGATTTGTAATGGAAATAACCGGAGGGAAGATGGGATGGAAGGATGTAGCAGTATTCAAGGGACTGAAGCAGGAAAAGAATCCTGCCACAAATCGTATGCCTAGGCGTTGGGCTCCAGGTATAAACTAACGCGTCCACTCTCTTCCCCCAGACCGCCTCCAGTCCTCCTGTTCCCACCACGCCACCCCAGAGGTCTCCGCAAGGCCCCCGAGCCTCCGCAGAGGCGCCCCGTTTCCTTCCGAGGTCAGAAATGGGAATGTCATTCACCTCGGCCTGAACACCCTCGCCGGAGACCCTTCGAGCCTTACTTCACCCACAGCCGCCGTTCTTTACCAGTCTAAAACTAACCTCCAGTCGGAGCCTCCAGCCTCCAGCAAATATCCAAAAGGTAGTCTTCGTTTTCCGCGCCAGCTCCTCCTTTCAAATATCCTTAGTGGCCAATCAGCGAGAAGGCGCAACGCCGGCCGGCCGGCCGCGTGGCGCTCTGGGAGTTGTAGTTTACCTGCCGCACTGCCTGTCACGTGAAATCTGGCGGGGCGGGGTTCCGCTCTGGACCGGAAGACCTTTGGAGCACCCGCGAAGGTCCCCGCACCCCTCTTCCCTACCCCCCATCTCCTACCATACCCCCACCCTGCCCCACTCAGGGATGAGTTCCTCAATTGCAATCACTTTGCTTTTGGAATGGCCAACCCCTACCGCCTTCTTGCTCTTATCTCTCGAGCTCAGGCAGGATTTTAAATTTCAAGAAAATTAAAATACTAAGAAACCCTCATGGTTTGTGTTACTAGAGAGGAAAAGGGTGTAGTACCCTTCGATGGATATATTTTTATTTTAGACTCATTCTCACTACGTGAGTCCTAGCTGTCCTGGAACTCGCTCTGTAGACTCAGGCTGGCCTCAAACTCACAGAGATATGCCTGCCTCTGCCTCCCGAATGCTGGGAGTAAAGGCGTGCGCCACCAACGCCCTGCAAGTTTTATTTATTTAGTATGTATACAGTGTTCTGGCATGTAAATGGTTGTAAGCCACCATGTAGTACTGGGGACTTGAACTCAGGACTTCTGGAAGAGTAACCAGTGCTCTTAACCTCTGAGCCATCAGTCCAGCCCCAAATTAATTTTTTTATAAATTAATTTTTAAAAAAGATGCTGGGGGTGCCGGGCGGTGGTGGCACATGCCTTTAATCCCAGCACTCGGGAGGCAGAGGCAGGCGGATCTCTGTGAGTCAGAGACCAGCCTGGTCTACAAGAGCTAGTTCCAGGACAGCCTCCAAAGCCACAGAGAAACCCTGCCTCATAAAAGCAAAAACAAAAACAAAAAAAAAGAACAATATATGTTCCTTTTAAACAGGTTCATTACAAGGTGGGGTTGTTAAGGCACACCTATAATCCCAGATGTTGGGGAGCCTAAGGCAGGGGATCTCAAATTCAAAGCCTGCCTGATGTACTGAGCTTGTTCAAGGCAACTTCATTTACATCATTTCAAATAAGAGAACTGGGGGGATGCCTCAACAGTTAAGAGCACTTGCTGCTCTGGCAGAGGACCCAGGTTTGGTTGCCAGCACCCACACTGTGGCTCACAAATGACCTGTAACTCCAGCTCCAGGGATCCAATGGAACTGGAGTTCCTCTTCTGGCCCCTTCTGGCACCAGACACATACGGTCCACATATATATGTACATGCAGGCAAATAACTCATGAAAAATAAACAGGTCTTTAAAAACAAATGAATAGCCAAGCGTTGGTGGCACACGCCTTTAATCCCAGCACTAGGGAGGCAGAGGAAAGAGGATCTCTGTGAGTTCGAAGCCAGCCTGGTCTACAGAGCGAGTTCCAGGACAACCTCCAAAACAATACAGAGAAACCCTGTCTTGAAAAAAACAACAACAAAAGAAAAGTGAAAAGAAGGTTGGGAATATAGCTCAGTGATTAAAGCAGGTACCTAGCACACACAAAGCCCTAGGTTCCAATCACCAGGACCATAATCAGTCAATCAATCAATAATGGTTATAGACACTTCCAGGATACTCTGTAGGGTAAAGGACCAAGAAGGAAGGAGGTGAGCAATGAGGTCATCACTTGTCTCAATACTAACCTCCTGCACCTTAGCATCATGCTCATCTACATACTCTTTACTGAAAGCTGGGCATGGTACAAGTGATCCAACACTTGGGAGATGAAGACAAGAGAATCAGGAGTTCAAGGTCATCTTTGGTTACACATCAAGTTCTGTGCTGTCTCAAAACAAAGCTGGTATAGTGGCACATGGTTTTTTTTGTTTTTTTTGTTTTTTGTTTTTTTTGTTTTTTCGAGACAAGGTTTCTCTGTGGCTTTGGAGGCTGTCCAGGAACTCGCTTGGTAGTCCAGGCTGGTCTCGAACTCACAGCGATCTGCCTGCCTCTGCCTCCCGAGTTCTGGGATTAAAGGCGTGCGCCACCACCGCCCGGCCAGTGGCACATGGTTTTGTTGTTGTTTGTTTGTTTAAAATGTTCTGCAGGGAGGCAGGCGGATCTCTGTGAGTTCAAGACCAGCCTGGACTACCAAGGGAGTTCCAGGACAGCCTCCAAAGCCACAGAGAAACCCTGTCTCGAAAAAACAACAACAACAAAAATGTTCTGCAGGATTCTTTTTGTTTTTTAATTTATTTTATGTGCCCTGGTATGAAGGTGTCAGATCCCCTGGAACCGGAGTTACAGACAGTTGTGAGCTGCCATGTGGATGCTGGAAATTGAACCGAGGTCCTCTGGAAGAACAGCCAGTGCTCTTACCCGCTGAGCCATCTCTCCAGCCCCAGAGGCACATGTTTTTAAGTCCAGTACTCTGCCTGGTCTACACAGCAAATGCCAGGTCAGTCAGGAGTACCTAGAAAGACCTTGTCTCAAAGACACAATAGGGCTGGAGAGATGGCTCAGTGGTTAAGACCATAGCTGGTATTCCATAGGACTTGTGTTCAATCCCAACATGGCAGCTCACAATTGTTTCTGACTCCAGCTCCAGGAGACCTAACACCCATGGCAAGACACCAATGCACATAGAAAAATAATAAATAAGTAAATATATACATACATACAACAAAAAATGTGCCTGAAATGAACTCGAGTCATATAATTTATTTATCTTTATTAATTGATTATGTATTCATAGGGAGACTTGGGTGTACTTATGGAGGTCAGAGAACAACTACTAACTTGTAGAAGTCTGTTTTCTCTTTCTCAATCACGTGGGTTCTGGGAACTGAACTCAGGTCTTTAGGCTTGGTGGCAGGAATCATTATGCCTGAGCCCCCTCACCAGCCCTAAGTCATGTAGTTTAATCCTGCATCTGAATCCTAAGTATATAAAGAGGCAGCACAACCAATAAATAAATAAATAGGGTTGGGCGGTGGTGGCACACATCTTTATTCTAGCACTCAGAAGGCAGAGGAAAAGTTGGAAGCCAGCCTGATCTACCAAGTGAGTTCCAGGACAACCAGACCTGTAACACAGAGAAACCCTGTCTCAGAAAAACAAAAGAAAAGAAAACAAAACAGAACAGCTAAATACATAAATAGGCAGCACAAGCTAGTGGAAAGAATTTTGAACTTGAGACTGGAGCTAGATTCTAGTTCTAACTTCATTTGATTGGTCTCTGTAAAAAGGGTACAAACTGCCTGGCATTGGTGGCGCATGCCTTTAATCCCAGCACTCGGGAGGCAGAGGCAGGTGGATCTCTGTGAGTTCAAGGCCAGCCTAGTCTACAGGGCAAGTTCCAGGACAGCCTCCAAAATCCTGTCTCAAAAAAAAAAAAAAAAAAAAAGACAAGGTCTCATGTACCTAGGCTGTTTTAGAACTTGCTATAAAACTGAGGCTGAGCTTAAACTCCTGATGCTTCTGTCTTCACTTCCTAAGTACTAGGATTGTAGGCCTGGAGCACCACCCTTTGTTTAATTACAGAATTTATATATTTATTTATGTACAGTGCTATGGGTCAAAACTAATGCATTGCTCATGCTAGGCAAACCCTGTGCCACTTCACTGTACAGCAGAACAGTGTGGGTTTGTTTGTTTTGTTTTGATTTTCAAGGCAGGGTTTCTCTATGTTAACAGTCCTGGCTGTCCTAGAACTCACTCTGTAGACCAGGCTGGCCTTGAATTCACAGAGATCTGCCTGCCTCTGCCCTTGAGTGCTGGAATTAAAGGCATGTGTTACCATCACCGCAGGGTGTGCATCTGTGTTTTTAAAGATTTAGTTTACTTTATGGAAATTACTGTCTGCTTGTATGTGTGTATGTATTACTTCCATGCCTAGTACCTAAGGAGACCATGGTGTAGGGTTGATTCACATGGAACTAAATTACAGGAGGTTGTGAGCCACCTTGTAAGTGCTAGGAATTGAAGCCATCTCTCCAGGTCCCATATCTCCACTTACACAGTGACCCATTACATGAGATCAGGTGTGGAACTTACCACTTTTATATTATGGTTTTGCCCATTTCAAAGTTCATAGCTTCAGATAAGAAATGCTCAGTTTGATCCGGGCGTTGGTGGCGCATGCCTTTAATCCCAGCACCCGGGAGGCAGAGGCAGGCGGATCTCTGTGAGTTCGAGACCAGCCTGGACTACCAAGTGAGTTCCAGGACAGCCTCCAAAGCCACAGAGAAACCCTGTCTCGAAAAACCAAAAAAAAAAAAGAAATGCTCAGTTTGATCTGGCAGTGGTGTCGCACACCTTTAATCCCAGCATTTGGGAAGCAGAGGCAGGCAGATCTCTGTGAGTTCGAGGCCAGCCTGCCTGGTCTACAAAGCGAGTACAGGACAGCCTCCAAAACAATACAGAGAAACCCCGTCTCGAAAACCCAAAAAACAAACAAACAAAAAAACAAGCAGGCAAACAAACAAAAAAACCCCAAAGTCAAAACCTAACAAACGAAGGTGGAAATGATGTAATAATAAGATAATTATTAATGGGGCTGTTAAGAGTTAAGAGCACCAAGGATCCTTCTCTTTCAGTGGACCTGGATTCAGTTCCTAGCACCAATCTGATAGCCCACAACCATCAGCAACTCCAGTTCCAGGGGATCTGATGACCTCTTCTGACCTACTTTAGCACCAGACACACATAGGGTACACATACATATATACAGGCAAAATACTCACACACCTAAATTTTTTTTAAAAAAAATCTTAAATACTTTTTTGTTTGTTTGTTTTTCAAGAGAGGATTTCTCTGTATAACATTCTTGGATGTCCTAGAACTTGCTTTGTAGACCAGACCAGGCTGGACTAGACCTTACTGAGATTCACCTGCCTCTGCCTCCCAAGTGCTAGGATTAAAGGAGTGTGCCACCACCAGCCAGTCTTAAATACATCGTTTTAAAAATGATTTATTTTATTTTTATTTGTATTACTGTTTTGACTGTATGTGTGTCTCTGTGACACACATTACATGTGAGGGTATTGGGTCTTCTAGAACTGGAGTT